TAGTTACAGTTACAGTATAGTTATAGTTATAGTTACAGTTATAGTTATAGTTATAGTTATAGTTATAGTTACAGTTACAGTTACAGTATAGTTATAGTTATAGTTACAGTTATAGTTACAGTTATAGTTATAGTTATAGTTACAGTTATAGTTATAGTTACAGTTACAGTTATAGTTATAGTTACAGTTATAGTTACAGTTACAGTTATAGTTACAGTTATAGTTATAGTTATAGTTACAGTTATAGTTATAGTTACAGTTATAGTTACAGTTACAGTTACAGTATAGTTATAGTTATAGTTACAGTTATAGTTACAGTTATAGTTATAGTTATAGTTACAGTTATAGTTACAGTTATAGTTATAGTTATAGTTACAGTTACAGTTATAGTTATAGTTACAGTTACAGTTACAGTTATAGTTATAGTTACAGTTATAGTTACAGTTACAGTTAACAGTAATAGACTTTGATCTAATAAAACTGTTGAGCTGTGGAGTGCAGCTCATTAGAGGAATGTCACAACATCGTAAAAATCTTTTGCTTCCAAGAAGATTTCTTGATGTTTAGCTGTTTAATAAAGCAGAATTTGTCTGAAAATCTTTATATTTAATCCCAAACTTTATACTTATTTATCATCTGCAGCCCAAAACAACCTTAGAAAACACAACATTGCAACTTAACTTTACATAGTTTGACCTGAAATATGGCATAGAGTCATCTTCAACATACTCCTCAAGTACATTGGAGATGTTCCGTATTTTCTGGCGTATAAGTCGCAGTTTGTTGCATAGATTTGTCAGGCCTGCGACTTATATATGTTTTTATTTTCCATATTCATAATGCAATTTTTGACTGCCGCTTTAAATTTCAAAGAACTGCAACAGCGAGTCCTCCTGTACTCAGTTGGTGCAGGTGGAGGAACGCTGGAGATCTTGCGGCTCCAACTGCGATTAATGGATGTGTGGATGGATGACGCCATGCCGCCCAGTTGAAATGAAGCTGTTTTGACCATTAAATAAATGCATAATAAATGAGACTTTTATGTTTTTGTCCTCTTCATGATTCTTTGTTGACTGATGCGATGTATACTCTGGATAATACGGTACATAGTCCTCAGTTTGGGTCAGTGTCTTTCTGTGCTTAATTACACGTTCTCCTCTTGTTTGTGTGGGTTTTCTCTGGGTACTCCGATCCCCTCCCACATCCAAACGGTGTGTTTAGGCTGCTTTCAGGCCCGGGCCTTCATTTAAAAAGAGCTCTGTGATCTCAGTGGTATTCACCTGGTCAAATAAAGGTTAATGATAATAATAATTAGAGTCCACTGTCTGTTTGTTAGCAAAATAGTTCACAAACCACTAGATGGATTTTAATGAAACAGAAAGTAATCATTGCATGTCCATCAAATCTAATTAATGTTTTAGGCCAACTCAGTTGAAGATGGTTAACCAATGTTTTCAACACAAATGGCTGTAAGTCAGTCAGTTTTCAGATATGAAGTTATAATTTGATGTGTTAGTAGACAGAGATCAGTCCCAACACATACGCTGAGAGCTAACACACATATATTCAAGCTCTTGCATGAAACTGTGCACACCTACAAGGTTTGACCAAAGCAGCCATAACTCCTTCATTCTCATCATAAAATGAGCTTAGTTTAAAACTTCTGTGAAATATGCAGGCCTTTAAAGAACGCTAAGCCTTTTATATATTTCTGAGGGACGAGTCCGTGAATAGACTGTAAACTCCCACCTGTTGGTAGATGGGCTTGAGCTCCTCCAGGGACTGCTTGCTTGTGATGGAGTAGACCAGGATGAAGGCGTGGCCCTTGGAGATGGACAGACGCTGCATGGCCGGGAACTGATGGCTGCCTGTTGTGTCTGTGATCTGCAGCGTGCACACGCTCTTGTCGCAACTGATCACCTGTCGGTAGGTGTCCTCCACCGTGGGGATGTAGGTGTCCCTGAAGGTGCCTTTAACAAAGCGCAGAACCAGGGAGCTCTTGCCCACTCCTCCAGCCCCGAACACCACCACCCGATAGTCGTTGCTCTGCTCCGGCATTCCGGCCCCTCAGCTTGAGACAGTGTTACACCTGTAAAATTGAAGCACGCCAGTTCAGAGTTCATTTATTTATCTTCTCTCTTTTTCTCCAAGCGCGCAGCTCCAGCTGCGTTTCAGCACAGCAAACAATCTGTTATTTCTTTTTCATGCCAACACGTAAAATCAATTATTACACGCATACACAGTCCATTTATGAGCATGTTACGGGCCACCAATATGTAGATGAACAGATGCTGCGATATATTCATCAATTAAAACGGATTCTTCATTTTTCTGGACTGAATAAAACGTGCATTGAATTTAATAAAATGTAACGTGAGACGTTATTTATCTTTGACCCATCAAAATGAATGCGGTCATTTATTTTACAGAATCAAAGTTTAACATCAAACATTTACATTAATTTGGCAAAATATGAGAATAACAACATAATTAATCAGCGGCTGTACAATTGTGATCAATTATCCACACGGCGGTGGATGAGCACTTTACACAGACATTTCTAAATTATCTGGAAGGATTTCTACTTGATAGAAGAATTTTTTAAAGATGGAAAGTGAAGTTTAAAGGGAGTAAAAGATGGTGTGTGAGGGGGAGTGTTAACCAGAACCGACACTCTCCATTCGAACCCAGCTTTTCCTCGGTACGCTCGGTAGTAAACTTGACTCGTTACCTCTCTGAAGATGAATCAGCAGATAAGGAGCTCCAGTTAACGCTACCTTTCAGCGTCTCCATAGGATGGCTGTGACTCGTCCGAAGTAGTGACGATATCCCGTCTGACACAAGTTCACCTCAGCCAGTGGACCTCACATGAGTGGGGTTCGTCCGAGTTCCACTCAGAGGTGAAGATGTTATAATCCCATAAAACTCGGAAGAGCTCTATCATGGCTGGACTTCTGTTCTCCCAAACGACTGGAGCTGCAAACTCTCCAGCCGACTCCAACGGCAACTCACAGAACAACGACTTCACAGAACTGCGAACATCTCAGAACTGCTACAACACAGAACTGCGAGAACTAGGAAGTACCGGCATTTAAAGAGCTCTATTTCCGGTATATTTGAGAGTTCCTGATTGGTCAATATCAACCAGACAGGGGTGTGGTTTGTGACGTAAGAGGTTACTAGAAGTCAGAAAACAGCAAGAATTGTTATGGAACAGATTAAAATGTTCTCAGAGACAGAGAGAGAAATATTTTGGCGAGTTTGGAGAAACAGGTGCCAACTTCTCTGTTGACGTCTGAGAGGATGTAAACAACGACCATTCGTTCCAACACTTGTCTGCTTCGACTCCTGACCTTGGAGTAAACTTACACTTGCTCATTCAAAGACAGAAATCAGAAAATGCATAAAAATCTGTAACAGGCCTTAACATGAATTCTACTTTGCATAAGCAACTAAAAAATCATTGTTACTGTTTTACAGTTAATAAAATTGATTAGTTCACTGCAACATCTAAAATGGTTTGAACTAAAACACTTTGGTTATCAACATTTGTAAAATAGTAATGATAATAGAAAAGAGAGTGTTCTTTCACTTGAATTTTCAAGAAAGAAAGTCTCAGGATGGGTGAACCTGTATTTCTGGATTCAAATCAATGAAATGACAGTTTCTGTCCCACAAGGTTCTTAAGGTCAAGGGTTTTGACCTTAGGCTTAGTTTTGACATCAGGTCAAGTTCACTACAACTGCTTTCAACTTTTAGCTCGCATTTTGCTTTTTTTTAGCCTTTAGCTGGTGTTTTGCTTGGGAGTGGTGGCATAGAGGTTAGAGAAGGTGAGCCTGTGATCGGAAGGTCGACAGTTCGATCCTCTGGACTGACCACATCAAAATGTGGGTGGGAACGGTGAAGCACCCACACCTGCCTCCACCCTCATTTGCCCCACTCTGTGCCCTTGAGCGAGGCCCTTAACCCCCACCAATTGCTCCCCCGGGTGCCCTAGATAGCAGCTCTGCTCTGCACAGAGGGCTGTGGTAGCTCGGTGGTCTGTGGTTGTGTCAGGAAGAGCGTGCGGCATAAAAACAATCGCCAAGTCTTCGTGCGACTTAGTTCACTGTGGTGACCCCTGAAGAAGGGAGCAGCCGAAAGAAGAAGAAGCAGCAGCAGCAGATAGTGTTTTGCTCCTTTTTACACCAAAGTTCATGCTCATTAATCCAGGTATAAATCCAACAATGTTCAGTCAGCTCAGCTGGACAGTTTCTTTGTTGCTGAGAAAATTCATCCTTCATCCGAAGGACTTCTTCAGTCTGAAGAGCCACCAAACCAAACTGAATCTCACAAACAGCTCACTCCCAGAGTGAAAAAAAAACCCAGTTTGCTGGTGATAAGATGGCCTCCGGGGCCCGCCCTCTCCACCGTCAACTCCTCTAAAGGCAGCCATGCCAACGCGCTTCAAAACTCAGACTCAAAAGTCAGGGCTCCTCAGACTGAAGAAGTCCTTCGGATGAAAGACGAAACCTTTTTAATTTAACAGTTCAGTTTCCGTTCCCTCAGCAGTCGTTCTCACTGATCCTTTGCAAAATATAATTTCAATATTTGAATCTGAATCTATTTACAACTCCGTTTATTATTTTACTTTTGGGCAACTTATATTTTGAATTGATGCTTAATAAATAAACTAAACTGATATAGAATTAAACAGAGGGGTAAACAGGGTTTTAATCATTTTGTCAGTCTTATCTGATTATGAGCCAGAGCACACATTAGGAGGGATGAGTTTGGTGAGCCTCCACATAATTTTTCCTGACGCAGACATTTTTAAATCAATGTACTTTACAGAGTACCATTCTCTGAGGGTCAGCCTCTGAACGCTCCTGTGTTTCATCATTTATCACCTAAAGAAAACCTCGACGGAGACAAAAAGAAGCTCATCCTGCAGGACTTGTGCAGATAGCACAGAACTGTATAAAACACTAATTTATAAAACTTTTAGGTGATAGTTTTAGAAGAAGAGAAAACTGAGACGATGTCAAAACTCTTAAACATTTAGCTTGTTTTACAAGTGTAAACAAACAATGAAAATATACATGTCACTTTGATTTCATTTTAATTAGCTCCAATAAACAAACAAGAAAAATCTTATAGTTATGAAATGCTTTTTTTAAAATGATGGCTTAAAGCAAATGATTAGATCAAGACCTTTCTAAATTATATCATGCGTAAACACTAAAAGTGATCACAAGGGCCTTTAAGCATCTTTAGAGGCGATTTTTATCAGCTCTGGTTTGAACTCAAATAAAATCAAAATGGAAAATTAGACTCAAGATTTGGATTCTCAAAAATCACCTTAATATAAATATAAAGACCTAACATGTTTTTAAGGATTACATGTTGCCCTAAAAAGTAATTTAGTTGTTTTTATTAAAATTGTCACCTGGTCAAATTTAGCCAAATAATTTGTTTTCTGCCTTTAAATTTATTATTGCCTGCATGAAGGTGTGATTCAAGATGGCTGCCAGTGGCGATTTTAGCCTCTTTATGGGGTGTTCAAGTACTCCTAAAGTTTAATTCAGCACCCTTAAAAAAAATAAAGTTAAATTTAAAATGTATATTTTGGGTGGTTTGGGGTTCTGTTAATTACATTTATGATTCAATGCCACAAAATAAACACATTTAAAAGGTAACAGATCATTGTAATACTTGGTTTATTTACATAATGACTTTAATTACTGGATGTTCGGCCCCTGAGCTGCTGCTTTCAGTAACTGTGGCCCCCTGAGCAGTTTAGTTGAATATTCCTGCTTTAGAGAGTGGAATACAGTTTATTACATTTCCAAAACCTAAACTGAGTCTGGAAAAATGTAAAAGATGATAACGCCCAGCGGCCGACCCCATGAGCAGCTGAAAACAGCAGCGATAAACAGGAAGTACATGTTCATCTGTATGAAGGTAACTGTAGGTAAATCCTCCATTTTCTGTCATAATTACATTGTACAATATGATTAATGGTTAAATTAAAGGTTAATGCTTGAAACTAGCTGTGTTTTGTTTTGTGTGTTTCAAATGTAGATATATGTTGTAACTTCTTGTTGCATAAGTTTAGTCTTTGTTTGTTATGATCAGTTAAAACTCAACTGATTGTGTACAAAGTGTTTATTTTGTTGTGTCATGTAAAGCAGAGCGCTACGTCTGTAGCATCTTAGCTAACGCGTCTGTATTGCACGCCGCTAACTTGGCGCTACTTCTTGTTGTGCCATTAACTCTAAAATAGTTATTGAATCAAGTGGTCTTTTTTTTTTTTTTTTTTTTTGAATCATTGATTCATTCAACCTTTATTTATGCAGTTTAGTCTCACTGAGCCTCGAGGACTCATTTACAAGAGAGAACTGATTTAAACAAAGAGCACAGACGAGGTACACACAACGATAGACAATCATATACAAAATGAAAAGTAAATAGAAGAAATAACATAAAAACGCAACAAAAACAGTTACATTTTAAAGTGGTGTAAAATGCTACAAACAGGAACACGTCTGCTGGTTTTATCCATGAACTTAACAGATGTTTAAAATCTCTTAGAGAGGTCAAGGTTGAGAGCTTCATCCAGAGTTTACTTATGGAGGTAAACGTACCCCGTTAAAATACACCACGATGCAGAAACTGCATCTACTTTATTCAAAATTTTCTGGGGGAGGACCCCTAGACCCCCCCACTAGTGTAGCCCCACATTACAAAGGTTTATGACACCAATGGCCTCCATGTTGTTCAAAACAAGAGCCGTTGTCAGCACTGGGGGCTAAGCACCCCTAACAGGTCAGACTCTAGAATCACCCCTGATGGCCTCCACACCCAACTGAGCTTAGAAAACATAAAACGGCTATAACTCGATGTATTGTACAGATATTCAACTAAACGTTGACGTGGTAGCAGCTGAGAGTTATTCACAACACGTAATATGAACCTGATTTAATGCATGAGACTGCCCATAATGATAACTTTTGGAAACTCGTTTCTCAACTTGAGACGATCTTGGTTTAAACTCTGACGGGCAGCATGTATTCTCTCGAGTAGCTCCCGGTCTTTGATCCGGTGTAA